TCCTGGACATGTGTGCCCATCACCACGAGAATGCCCACTGCCACTCATCACTTTTTAAACTTTTTAAACTTTTAACATTTACTATTGGTTTGTAACGTGCACTTTGCAATTTTGTTTGTATGTATCTATTTTCAATTATTTATTTTGTATATCTTTAAATGTAACAAATGTAACAAATGTGCAATTCAGCCTTTGACTGCGAATCATTTGATTAATAAACTCTTTTTGAATTGAGTTGAATTGAATTGAATGAACATAAAATAATTTCTTGAAAGAACGAAATGGATCAACCTGTTCTATGCAAATGCATCCTCTTGTGTATTAGTTAACGGACACTGTACAGGTAGATTTGAAATAGAACGAGAGTGTCGTCAGGGAGATTCTTTGTCTTCCTACGTCTTTTTGTTAGTCAGTGAGATACTTGGTATCCTAATACGACACTCAGATTCTTTAGTTGGATTGCATATGAATGGAAAAACGCTTAAACCGTTGCAATATGCAGATAATACCCTTTTGACACTCAACGGTTCAATGCAGGATTTACAATGTGCCCTTACAAGACTTAATGAATTTGCAAATATGTCCAATCTCAAAATCAACACAACCAAAACTCAAGTGATATCATTTGGGAAGAATAGAAATTTCAAAAAAAGAGATTTTATACGAGTACAAACTTAATTGGATATTTGAGGGATGTACTTGGGCATAGACTTTTCAGTTAAATTATCAGAAATGGTTAATCACAATTATGAAGAAAAGGTTCAAGAGATAAACCGTCAGATGACGATATGGTTGAAAAAAACTCCCTTAAGGACAGTAAAATCCTTATTTATACCCAAATTGAATTACCTATTTTTATCTCTTCCTGAAGCAAAATGAGAAATTATGAAGGAGATCAATCGACGTTTTTTCGAATTTATATGGCATGGCAAACGTGATAAAATAAGTATTTAGGAAACAAATGTTATAATTGTACAATGAAGATGGGGTTAAGGTGACTGACATTATTTTGTATGCATTCTAAATCACTTAAGATATTCATGGGGGCTGAATATTACAAAGAATTAGCCACCACAAAGCGCAGCCCATTTTGCGAATAACCCTAAAATACAAGTTAATAATAACGTAATTTATTTCAAGTCTTGGTGTGCTATAAAGGGGTACGTTGTGTTAACGATGTTTTAGAAACAAAAGAATCATTTCTCTCATATTTTGATTTTCAACGTAAATACAATGTACATGTAAACTTTCTTTAATATTATGGCTTTTGTCATGCTATTCGATTTGGTTTTAATAGAAATATCATACCAAAGGTCATTGAACCTACATGTATTATCCCGGAAGCATTGTAATTAATAATAAAAGTGGAAAAAGGTTGTGCACATATATACCGTTCTTTGTTGAAGCATAAGATAAAGGAATGTAAAAGTCTTACAAAGTGGAAACAGGATTTTGACCTTGACAATACTGTTTGGAGTTCTTATCATCTTCTTCCCTTCAATTTAATTATCGATGTTAACATGAAGTGGTTTCAGTTCAAGATACTGAATAGAATTCTTTATGTGAAAGATGCTTAGTTAAGATTTAAATTAGTTACAGATAACTTATGTACATTCTGTAATAACACTGTAGTTTTTATAACACCATATAAATACAATATGTGTGCAATATCCAACAATTAAATGTAGGCCTATATTAAAAAGATTTTTTTTACTTCAAACTCATGATAACATCAATTGAAAGGTCTTTATATTATCAGTTAATATTAATTTGGTCCAAAACTTATATTTAGGATATCCTGGAATATTCATCAATATCAGGACTGTTCCGGAAGGTACTTTACTTTAATACACGAATATTTCATTGTAGATGTACAGATAATCTCCGTAAATATTATGTCCTAACCGTGGGGTATCGCGCACCTTCTATTCGGGGATAAACTCATAGTGCGTGTATCTCATGTGCATCGTTCGGTGCGTGGGTGCAAAGCGGCTCGTAGAACTGTACGGAGGCGTGTGGAGATGTCATTTGAAATCACGTTGTTTGTTAATGTGCAACATTTGAACATGGTAACAAGTCATTGTGTGTATAAAGTTTAGCCTTTTTTGGAAATATGGAAAACAAACTCGCGGCAAACTGTTAACGAAATTGAACGAAAATGAGGCTAGACGTATTATTGCCAAAATACATAGCAGACAGTGTTATAACTGTCTTGCACTCTACTACGCGTGTTTCGAAGCAGGAAGCAATAAGAAAATAGAGTTGTGTTGACAAAAATGTACGAAAAACAACTAGAAAATCATCAAGAATATGTTCGAACCTATCCACTTAAATTTGTCCTAAACGTTCCTGTATCATTAGCAAATTATGCTTACCTTAAACCTTGGATCTTTGTCTCTCAAAATGGCGCTTAATTATTGTTGACAGATTATGATGATGTCGTAGAGTTATTATCCCGTGGGTCTCAGTCTAATATAAATGCTGTAAGCATTCTTGCGTGACCTGGAAAACTCGTATAAGGGGGTGTGTTTTGTTGTTGATTGGACGCGGTCCAAGCGATGCCTCATTAAGGGGTTCAAAAACATCCATTCTGGGCTATTTTCAAGAAAAAGGGTACTTTTTAAAATGGTTCAAAATCTTGCAGTACGCGCCGGTATACGCGTATAAGGGTATTTTTCTAGCCCGCAGGACCAGACCGGGAAAAAAGGGGCTAATAACTGCCCATTGGCCTAGCTAGTTATAGCAAAGATGACAGACGTGTAAGTGTATATGTTGATGTTATTGCTTCTATATTGAAATATATTTTTAGATTGTGAATTTTACATAAGAATTAGTGAAATTATTAACTTTTTTTTTTTTTTTTACATTGTCGACATTTTAAATGGTTATCCCTATCATTTCAAATTTCTCAAGGGGTTAGAATTTTACTCCTTTTTCTTCACTCACCTTTTCTCTCCTCCTTCTTTTCTTCTTCTTTCTCTCTTCCCTTTTCCTTCTTTTTCCCTCCTTTTTCTTTCCCCCTCCCTTTTCTCCTTTTCTCCCCTTTTTCTTTCCCCTCCCCCTTTTTGTTTTACGGGGGGGGGGGGACGTGCCGCTTGTGCCCCCAGAATCCGCCACTGAGTGCACTTGATGGTTCTCGAACAACATCTAAGATAATGCCTTAACATTCCAATAACCCTGTTAGCCTTCTCGGTAATGTGAGCATACTGGAAATCCCACTTGTATTATTTTGTTGGTTAGGGAGACTCCAAGGCAGGCGCGTACGCAGGGGGGGGGGGGGGGGGGCTGTTTTGGGGGTTAACCTCTCCCCCCTCAATTTTTTTTTGTGTAGCTCAAGGGGGTGCAGTAAAAAAAAAATGTTCCTTAACCTGTTCTTGATGTGGAATTTATAAAAAATCTAAAATGTTTGAATTTTCCCTTTTGAATGTATTTCATTTCAAGGCTACAAAATGGCTCTCCATAATATTTAAGTCTAACTTAGAGTTAAGTTCGACCTAGGATCTTTGTGAAACCCCCCCCCCCCCCCCCCCCCCCCCCCCCCGATCTCCTTCCGCGTGCGTTTACTTTAAGCCCCGCCCAGTCGACCATACGTCCACACACAAAATATTCCATGATTCTATATCGAGTTCTGGTTAGAAACGTGCCCAGACCCTAGTTTTGTAATACAAAGTTTCTTTGTAGTTATACCATGGACCCTTCTACAAATGAACTAATAATGAGAGTCTTTCTTTGATCACATCATGACCACCGCCACGCATCATCACAGACAAAAGAACATTTAATCAGATTATTTTCGCTGGGCCAATGCCCAGAGTGTAGTTTCAGGAAAAGTATCGTGATTTAATACCAGTTAGAGGAGCAGTGAATCCTAAATCATGACAACTTGTGTGAAATTGGATTGTTTATTAAAGAAGTGGACACTGCATGGTGGACATACATCTGGACTTGCCAAACTTTGTAAAATACATATTCTTTACTGTCCTATCACCTTCTGTTTATTGGAAATGGAGAGGATAAGTTTTAAAATGAAGTTTAAAATCATTGTGTTATATACAGCCAAATTTACACATTTCTCTTGTAAACTAGGCCTACTTCTAATTTCCTATTGAAACTTCATATACGTCAATATGATATGTACGCTACAACTGTACACAGGCGCGGATCCAGGATTTCTCAGGGGAGGGCGCCCAACTTTTTTTTTTTTTTTGCTCCCGAAAACTCCCCTCTCAAATTTATTTTATGCGTGTGTTTTGGAGGACCCCACCCCCCCCCCCTTAAAAAAAAATAATAATACAAACAAAAAAATTGTGGTAAAGGGTGACCAAAAAATACCCCCCCCCCCCCCCCCCCCCCCCCCCCCCCCCCCCCGAAAAAATCATGCGTACGCCCTGGGCACAGTTTTGTGTTTTTAATGGCTGACTGGCGGCGGTCGTGATGAGATCAAAGCTTGGAAGCATGTTTGGAATATCATTATGAAAGTCAGGTGCATGCATGTATTTATGGCATCGATCAGTGTCCATTGGTAGTAGGGTCCATGGTTATACCAAAGTATCTCTTTGGTTATTACGACGTATCGTTAATAAGCGTACACCAGGATTGTTAGAGTTCAGTGACTCTAGTTTCCTCTAGTTGCAGTGTACTCAGAATTACTATACTGTCCTCTACTGCAGGCTAGCTGTACACAATATACCATTGACAGTCTGGGTATAACAAAACAACCAGAACAACAATCACCCACAAAGATACTATGAGCGAGGTGGGGGAGGTGGGGGGGGGGGGGGGGGGGGGGGGCACGTGCATCAATACTTTCAACCAAAATGTAACTCGATGTGGATGTGTATCATGAACGTACACAGCATATGACAATGATATTCATACACACTGTAGTGCACCGCACGCATTAGCGCGTGTGTTTGAGTACAAAGTTCAAGTTCTCGAATTCGCTAGGCAGGACTGCGTTGTACGAATGGATGTACATAATTATGTGCGTGTGCGCACATCAGTTACAAGGCACTATTAGGGTTACGTTGCTATGTTGCAATACCTAAAGCTAGATCTTATAGGATTTGAATGAACATTGTGTGTACTCTGATCCCAGGTATTGCAATATCACGCAGCAAGTAATGGTGTCTTCATTTAATCTAAAACTATCCCTGGAATAGCCATACCATTAATAAATAGTCAAGAACTGAAAGACTATAAAACTTGACGAAGTGTCATCTGCTTTCAGTTTCAGTCAGTGCAGTAGTACTCTCACTTGTCGAAGTCAGATTGAACATCATGGGCGTTCTGAGTTTATTGAGCGGGCTTGTGTCGATGACCACGGTTTACCTCATGCTAGCAGTGATCACCCTCTTCTTCGTGTAAGTCTCGGTCTTATTTTCTAAATTTGTAATTCACGGAAATGCTTATACCCCCAGTCACACTGGCACACTGATTCCACACCGACCAAAGCGTTGGCTATTCGGGGGTCTGGTTGGCTAAGATATATCGGCCTTTTACAAAAGGTCTTTCACAGGTCGGGCGAAATATCCATCAGGCATTCCGGCAAGCTTTTCGGGTATATTATGTAGCTTATTTCTGCAATCTGATCACAAACTCACTCATTTTGCTTATTTTGACGTGTGTCGATCATGCATCACTACCTGGAAATCGTGTGGCGGCTGGATCGGACAGGATCCAGTGATTGTCAGAATTATAGGGGGATGGGCGGGGGAGGGGCGGGGAAGGGGCACGGACCAGTGGGCGTGGCCGTTTCAATCTCCTGGATCCATTCTAGAATGGTTCAATGATATCGAGTAAATTTTGGGCTGGGGAGAGCTAGGGGCAACATGCTCGAACAACCAGGCTGCGAACAACTCAATCTGAAGTTGAAGTATTTTCTCCCTCATTTTCACTTCATTCGGTTTTGAGTCATGAATTCTATTGCGTATTTAGGCCTATCATAATAGACCTATATATATAATATTTTCTGGAACCGTTTGTAAACCAACTTCTTATGTTGAAATGACCCATCAACCCAATATATTGGAAGAAAAAAAAAACTACAAATTTCCTTTCAGCTATGATTTCTGGACTCACACCTATTTCAAAAGGCAAGGGATTCCAGGCCCGCCTCCAAAACCGATCTTTGGAAATGCATTGGACTTCAACAGGGTGAGTAATCCAACAATTTTCAATCCATCTAGCTACTATTCTTTGAGTAGAATTGATACATAATATTTTGAGAAAGAAACTGATGGAGTGAGTGTTTATTTCTTCGCTTGCTCGTAAAATTCAGAAACTGGATTATTTTCAGGCAGGGAGTTCCATGAGTATCCCCATAATATGATGATATATTTGGGCACCTCGCTGCCCACATTTTAGTAATCAGTTGTTTGTTATGTTTTAATATAATTGTATGTACTTTTTCTGGTTTTTCAAGGGGGACACCTCGGCGTCTGTAGAAGTAGTAGTAATCCTATATTATAAGTAGCGGACATGCATGTGAACCTAATTGTTTTGCAATGACAAAATGACACGGCGGCCTTTTTCTTGTGAAAATGAAATTGTTCTTGCTTGAATTTCAATTTTGATGACATTTTTAGCATACTTACTCTTTGTAATAGGCCCATAATGAGTCATACCAGATTCAATTTGTCATGTTCAAGTCAAAGTTTGGTGCGCTGCAATAGATCTCCCCAGATGTGGGTGACGGTATGTTTATACCTGTATACACACTTTTGCAAGCACTATTTCAGAACATTTGCCCCATTTCGCCATCCTATCTTTCTATATACTCCAGCCTATTTGCGAAGTCCTCGACGAGTACGGACAAAAATATGGTACAATGTTCGGTGTCTATCTATGGAGGAGACCTATTCTCGTGATTGCCGACATCGAAGTGTTACGTAACGTCATGATCAAGGATTACCACAAGTTCTACAATAAATACGTAAGAGAAAATATATTTTCTATCATTTTATTGCGTTATCGAGAGTCGTGCACAATAAGACAACAAATACATAAGAGAAAGATATATATTATTTATCATTTTATTACGTTATCGAGAGTCGTGCACAACAAGACAACAAATACATAAGAGAAAGATATATATTATTTATCATTTTATTACGTTATCGAGAGTCGTATAGAATTATAATATTACAATAAATTCATATAGGAGAAATATTTATTTTATTGCGGTATCGACAGCCGTGGAATTCCAATAATACAATAAATACGAAAGAGAAAGACATACTTGCTATCTTTTCATTGCAGTATCGACAGCCGTGGAATTACAATAATACAATAAATACGAAAGAGAAAGACATACTTGCTATCTTTTCATTGCAGTAGTGAGAGTCGTGGAAATACAATATTACAATAAATACACGAGAGAAAGATATATTTTCTATCATTTCATTGCATCAAGAGTCGTGGTATTACAATATAATTGTAATAAATACGTAAGAGATAAATTTGTTTTCTATCATTTATTGCGGTATATCGAGAGTAGTGGAATTATAATTTTGGTTCATAATATTAGTGAATAAACCAGTGGATCAAAACATACCATACGCATATTTGAGTAGCTCCGTATACAATCAAGGATAGTGGATCATTTTCAAGCGATTAATTCCTGTATTTTTACTTTTGGGGGAGAAGGACAATCGAAAGAAGCCATCCTCAAAGCTTAAATGATATGGAGCATGACAGGGGGGGGGGGGTGAATATATATTTGATAGTCGAAAAGAATTCGTTAGCTTTTGATTCTGAATCGCGTTCATTGAAACAAAATGAGAGTATATTTAATTAATTAACGCAATACCTTTATTTTGTTCACTGCATACATTTTATTTCGCATATGACATTTTTTTTTTAAAATTCATAATCATATTATTTTCCAGCCGATGCCGATGAAATCGGGGGTGTTTGACCTCGCCCTGTTCCAGCTGAGAGACTCACAATGGAAGAGGATTCGGGAAATCATGACCCCGACCTTCACTGGAAAAAAAATGAAAATGGTACCTAAACAAAGAACAAAACAAAGTTGCATGTTTTTTGTTTCGCTGTGTTAACGCAAACGCAAGAAAAAGAGAATTGGTCGAAACTTGACATTATGAAACTAACTTTCAAAGATTATGTCAACAAATTTTTGTTATTCATATATGTTTTCGATTAACGAAATTATGTAGACTTTGATCGTTTGTCTTCCATTTATTTAATATTTTCTTGTTTGCCCTCGCTATATCATAAGTCGGTAAAAAAGATTTTAAATCGCACATAAAAAAATATTTGATGATCAGTTTAGTAAATTTCCAATAAGTTGATTCAAGGAGATTACACTATTTTAATATTTAAGAATTGTGAACAAACGTAGTTAAGCAAAGTTTTCCTATAAACAGTGGAGAAAATTATCGAATTTCGGTTTTCAAGTTTTAATATTGTGAAAAATTCTAAAAAATATGTACGGACAGTCACAAACTATGGTCAGGGAGATTCTTAGACTTTCATATGTTCTCCTGTTTCATCAGATGTCGGATACAATCAACAAATGTGCAGACACAGTGGTTGAGAAACTACAACAATCTTGTGAGAAAGACGGAACCATTGATTCACAGGCGTAAGTAATTTTCATACGGATTTTTAACGAGGAGAGAGAAACAATCCGATTTTTTTTCGAAAATGAGGTGACGATGTAGGCCTCTGATTTTCTTTCACCGCATAACATTTGCGTTAGAATATCTTTCATCTCGTGAAAACTGCTTTGAATATAAAAAAATAAAAATCAGTTTATAGCACTTCATCTACATTTTAAATACAATATTATTTAATATCTTAGCACTAATAGCAATATTGTGTTTCATGTGGACTTATGGTTATTGAAGATGATTAAAGGTAAAGACCAGTATTGGAAACGCGCCAATTTCAAAAAATGAAATGGAAGCTCTTATTACCAATCAT